GGTCCTCATCCCTAAAAGAAATACTTAGTCCTGAAGTTGAGAGTCTCAGTTATATCTACTGTCCTTTTTGTTCTGATTCTAAGTGACTTTCAGACCTGCTCAAGAACTGTCGTGGGAGAAAATGGAGTGTCTGAGAAAGCAAAAACTTTCTCTTTCACTTGAAGAGACAGATGCCTTTTGGTTTAGTTTCATAGAAAGCATTAAAGAAAGATGTTGCCTCCTGGCTTCACAAAAGTGCCATGTAAGGAGTGTTTTGTTGGGAAAATGTAATATTATATCCTGGTTCCCTCATTTTTTTTCCCCTCAGCCAAGAGATTTATCTGAAAGAGGAGAACCATTCATTCATGCATTTATGCAGCCATTGTATACATTTTTATTGAACGGCTACTTATGGCAGGTACTGAACTAGATTGTGAGTCTGTAACTCTCTTTTACAGTCTTCTGGGAGAAACGAAATAGATGAGATAATTACAGATGGAAGCTGCCATGAAGGAAGTAAAGAATAGCCGTGCTCCACAGGGTAGGCATCTACTCTGGCTAGATCTGAGAGCTAAGAAGGAGTGGACCATGCAAAGAATCAAGGGGAGAACATTGTAGGAATATGAAAAGGTTCTTAAGTGGGAAACTTCAGAGGAGACTGTACTAAATGCTCAGAGAGAGAGGCAGAGAGGGGGGAAGAGAGAGAGAGACAGAGAGGGAGAGGGAGAGAGAGGCTTTTGCACTAGGGTTGTGCCCAGAGAAATGGAAAGAATGGGATCCATTTGTGATAACACAGAAGTGGCAAAACTTGGTAATGAATTGAACATGGAGGTTAGGGGCAAATCAGGGGAAGAGCCTGCGTATTCAGCTTCAAGCCATTGGCTGCCTGTACCATTTACTGATCTGGAGGGCTGTTTGAGAGTACTAAGGTATTTCGGAGAGAATGAATTGTGCTTTGAGTATTCGACATGCCTTTGAGCATCCCAGCAGGAATGCCAGGTGGGATGTAGGACACACCCCGGCACTCAGGACAGGAGTCTGGGCTCCACACAGACAGGGGGAAGTCATCGGTGTGACTAGGTAGCATTTATGATGGGACTGGGCAGTGCTTTTCAGCCCTTTGCTGCACATGAGATCAGATGTTGAACTTTAATAAGAGAACTTTTCCCCAGGCCCACCCCTTAGAAGTTGTTCTGATTTAATTGTTCCCATGTGGGGCTTGGGCATCCATAGTTTTCAAAGCTCCCCAGGAGAAATTTTTTTTAATACCATCTGAAAAGATCACTGCTAGAAGAAGAAAGCACGTCTAGAGAAGATAATCTCGGCCTAAGCTTTTACATAGAATCTCAACGGGTAACACAGGTTTCCCTACCGTCTTTTTTTCTTTATTCCTTCCTCCTTGGCCTTGTGAATGAGATCTGCATCTCCTACCACAGGGTAGCGTACTTTGGCCTTGGTTGAAGTCACTGTTTCCTTTTTTTCTTTCTTAATTTCTGAAGAGTTTGCTTAGGTATTGAGGATTTCAGTACGTCTTTTTCCAACCTATCATTTAAGTCTACCCTGATGTGGTTTAGTGGTAGCAGGTATTTGTCGTGGTTGAAAGATGAAGAACCTGTTTGGCTTTCGCTTTGCATTGCATTGCAAGAGTTTTATTGTGGTTTCCCGTGGTTGCTACGACAAAGTAGTCATCTCCAGGAAGAGTGTATATATTTTTATGTATCGGTATCCAGGTAGATGTTTCTTGAATTATTCTAGATACTTGGTAGCTTTCTTTGAAGATAATTTCTGAAAGCTCATTGAGCCATTTTATATTTCACCTCTTAAAATTTTCCCTTCACAATGACATTTCAAGTCTTTCATGTTGGTTTGTTTATTTCTGTGTTAACCTCTTTATTTTTGGCTAGTCCTGGGGTTTGAACTCGGGGCCTTATGCTCTTGCTTGGCTTTTCCACTCAAGGCTGGCACTGTACCACCTGAGTCACACCTCCAGGTGTGGCTTTTTGCTGGTTAATTGGAAAATGTCTTTTGGATTTGTCTGCCCAGGCTGGCTTTGAACCTTGAACTCGCACCTGAGACCTCTGACTAACTAAGACCTAACTAACTAAGGTTACAGGTGTGAGCCACCAGCAGCTGGCCCCAGGCCCTTTATTCTTGTCTACAACTTCCTATCACTGCCTAAAGCCCTAGGCTAAGAATAAATAGAAATTGTACCCCCACTTTCCCCCACCGAGCTCTCATCTCTTGCAGTCTTCATGAAAACCTAATGAAAAGGCTATGGAAGGCAGAGGCAAAGCCTATTAAATTTTCTTACGACCCATGCCCCACATAAAGTCCCAGTGTACAAGAGAACCACGCAGGAACATGTGGCCTTCTCTTAGCCTTAGGGGAATCTGCCATTCCCAAAATATGACCTATTAAAAACTGACTCCCAGGGACAATTCTATATGATTTCTTGTTAATGTTTACAGCTGAATCAACACCCACCAATATTGTGTGTGTGTGTGTGTGTGTGTGTGTGTGTGTGTGTGTGTGTGTGTGTGGATACCAGCCCTATGGATCTGTTACAAGGTCTGTATAATCCTCTAATTGTGAAACTAGTTAGACCCAGCAAGATGTATTGATAGAATTTTGGCAAGTTAGGCTAGAGCCATTTGTTTATGGAAATGGATGAGTTGTTATCTTTGTAATTGAATCCGTGCTACTATTCCTAGTCTGTTGAAAATCAGCCTGGGTACCTCACTGGGCTCAGTGCTTAGCTATCTCACTGTATGATCTGGATATTTTTCAGCTATCGATAGCAGCTTGGAGAGGAAGGTAAAGCACCAACATTGATGATGCCTCATGATGAATAGAGAGTTCAGTCAACGGGGACTCGGGTTGTGTGGTAACACAAGCCCCAGTGGGTCAGTTACTGAGGAGCAGAGGACACGGGTCCCACCTTCACAGGCTTTAGTTAGTTACTTCATCCATGAACACCTACCTTACTAGCAGGGGTCCAAGGGCTGCTTTGAGTCTTAGGGGGTCTAAAATCCATTTGCTATTTAGATAAACATAAATTATGGGGAAAATAACCATAAATGAACAATAAATTTCCTTAGATTTTCGTGGTCATTTTTCTGCTGGTGACAGCCCCCCTCTGTACAGCAGATGCCCCAAGACTGCTCTGGCAGGACACAGGGTGATGGGTAGTCTCAGTTAATGGGCCCGTCGGAACATGTTTGGCCGTGGAGACGGCTCTGCTCCTATTACCAAGCCTTGGCTTCCTATCTGTTTTCTTTGGGCTGGGGAGGCAATGAAAAAGGAGACAGGAAAATACATTTTGGGGCAAATAAAATAAGGAATTTGTCTTCTGAAGACAGTTTATAGTTGGGAAATTCTAATGTTCGACTTAACCCCATCCTGATGGGTTGCTCTTGTCCCGTATGATGTGCAAGGCATGGTGCTGAGTTCTCACAGGGCAGTGACGAATTTACATCTCCAAAGCTTTTAATAATCCTTATACAACGTTTTGGTCTTTTATGATTCATAACTCTGATTCCCTTAGGATTTTTTTTCTGGAGTGCTAATACTTAAATATATCCATCATCTCCATGACTCTTGAATCAGTTCTAGTCTCTTAAATGTTTTTACTGAATTCTTGGAGCCAGGCCCAAGGACCCCATTGGTAGAGAATGTAGAAGAGGAGTACCCCAGTATATTTCTGATTGTGTTTAGACACCACACCTGCTCATTACAGCCTGTGTTACCCAGACACTCTTCTACCTTTCACTCAGAGCTAGAAGCTTTCCTGTGGTTGCACCAGATACTATAATATTCCTTTGTTAAGAATGATTTAGTGCTGGGTGCCCTTGGCTCATGCCCATTATTCCAGCTACTCAGGTGGCTGAGAGCTCAATATTGTGATTTGAAGCCTAGGGAGAAAAGTATGTGAGACTGTTATCTCCAGGTAACCACCAAAAAACTGGAAATAGAGCTGTGACTCAAGTCATAGAGGGGTAACCTGGAGCAAAAAAGCTGAGATAGTGCCCAGGCTCCAAGGTCAAATTCTAGTAGACACACACACACACACACACACACACACACACACACACACAATGATTCGGTGATTTTTAAGAAGTCTGAGTACCTGGAGTATATTTTCATGTGCACATTTCTTTATTATGCAGAATATTCTTGGGTTTTAGATTTGAAGGAATTGAAAGATTAAAAAAATGCATTGTTCTCACAAACTGACCTGTTGAATTGAAACCTTTTCTTGGTATGACTACTTAAAGATAATTAAAAGAATAATGAATTGTCACATATTTTCCCCAAAGAGTAATTTTCAATTTCTTGTATCAAATAAGAGTAGTAGAGTTAAATTAAAAGAAAAATAGACATTCTCTGTGATTTAATAGAGCTTATTGTTGCTTTGGGGCTTTGGCCTATCACAAAATCTCCGTATTACTTTTAAGAATTTGAGCTTTCTTGCTTACATATCTCTTAAACAAAACATGGGTTTTCATTTTTCAGAACAGGGGTAGTTGTAATATGGAAACAAAAAAGTCAATGTCCCTAGGATCCTCATGGAAATTTCTCTTTGGAAAGAGTGTTTGCCTCTGCCCCAACCTTATGGCAGTGTATCTACCACCCACGGGCTCTGAGCTCTCATAGATGGAGGTTCTCCATCTTGAAACATGCAAACCTGGCCCAGGCACACTCTCTCTGCCCTCCTCCCAGGAGAGGGCTTTGTGGACGCACCCCATGCAAACCTCTTACGCTCTTGACTCCAAGTCCCCTCTGGAACACTCCACTCTCCACTGAAAGAAAAGAACAAGGAAAGCTTGCTACTAGATAATGCTTATGAGGCATTATTGTGATTATTTCTATTATAGTATAAAGGGAGGCATTATTATAGATGCTTCGTTATAAATATCTGTATTGATAATCCCTTGGCTTAAACCACGAAGTATGTATCTATTTAGCATGGTCAATTGTTCAGCTAATTAATATGCTTTTATTTTATGATTTGCTATTTCCAGGGCACAGACAGAAGCTTGATGACTCTAAACCTAGTTTGTTCTCTGACCGCCTCAGTGATTTAGGGCGCATTCCTCATCCCAGTATGAGAGTAGGTGTCCCGCCTCAGAACCCACGGCCCTCCCTGAACTCTGCACCAAGTCCTTTTAATCCACAAGGACAGAGTCAGATTACAGGTAAGACAGACTCCTAGGTTTCACTTGCAGACTCTGGCAGGCCTGGGGGTGAGGGGGTTACGAGAGCAACTGTGTTCACTTCAAAAGCTCTGGAGCTGCTAAATGGCTTGTTGTGAGCCTTGGAGGTACTGATTTCTCTGATATTCAGTAACTACGGGCTTACCTCTTCTGTGGGGGGAAGGGCAGTGGGTGGTGGAAATTTCTATGGATGCTGTACTTTGCAGCCTGTATCAGCCTGCACACTGGGGGTTGGTAAGAACTTACTCTCTGGGAGAATGTTTGTTAAAGTTTCTATATTGTATCCAGGTGGTGTAAGGATAACATCACACCCTCAATATTAGGAGATTAGTGTTACTGACTTCAATTTGGGCTTACATTTCTTCTTACATGTCTAACTATTCCATTAAGTTGACTTGAAATCGCCCAGGGCTAACAGGAAAGCTGATTAGTAGTTGTAAGGCAGGGTCAATGAGCGGCTCTTTGGGCAGACTGAATTCACTTCTGATTCACATTTACTTCTGGTTCCTCATGTGACGTTCCTTTTTCATATTTATTCTACTGAGATGCTTGCTTTACATTTCTTCTTAAAAATTAACATCAGTATTACATTGCAGGCTAATCACTCACAGTTGGTGCACTAAGATCTCCAACTCTTTTTTTCCCCCTCTTTCCCCGCCCAAACCCTAATGCAAAAACAGATCTTATTTTAGGAGTAGTTTGATTTCTTTGAGGTCATGGAGACAAGAGCGTGTTAAGCATTATAGATCTTTTATTCACAGATCAAAAGTACTGAAGCTAAAAAGGATTCTGTATGTTCTCTAATTGTTTTCATTGCTAGAGTTAGACCAGAACAGAGGGAAAATAAGTCAGAATAAAATGTGTAATGAGCCATCGATGTAGATCTTTTCAGTGGTTAGATTTTTGCCTGTAGTGGTTAGGTCGGATGACCTTTATGGTCTCAAGACATCATTACTTATAAATGAAATGACCTACCTTTCCTATTCTCCTGCCCATATTATATAAATAAATGCATTCTTAGAGATTTACATAGACTGGGTTTCACTGTCTGTGGATGTGCTTATTAGTCTGAAAATAGAGGTTTGCATAAGCATATTAAAAAGTAATATAGAATGGTAAAAAATAAAGTATCTCAGCCCTGAAGAAAACCAAGCCTCTGCATTGAGAAAGAACATTAGAGTTATGTGAATTGCCCTGTTTTAACCTGTGTACAACTTGAAAGTTTATGTAAGACTCAAAGGGTTAATCTGTTCATTAGACCCATCCCATGATTAAAATGCAAAGCTGAAATTCACACAAACTTATGAATATGAAATGGTCATACAGCTGTAGATGCTATGAATTTAAAGTTGTGAACTTTGGATCATCAGTTAACGCTTAAAATAGGTGTCTTTTTCTCCTAATATTAATCCTTAGCATTTGTGTGTGTGCATGTGCATAGAAATTTACATATATGTGTGCTTTATTATGATCTGAAGTGGACTTAGGACAACTAATTATATGTACATATATACATGCATATATATTCTATGATTTGGCAACTACTTGGTTCTTTCTATGTTGATTTCTGTGATCTTATCTTCAGCTAATTACTAATTATGTTAATGACTAATGCTTTTCAAATGACCTTTGAAACCTACCTGATGCTAGCTTCACTTAAGAAGATGCTTCTCTCAAGACTTTGTGCTTAAATCTAAAGATGAGGTGATAAATAGAATGAGTGGACATTTTAGAATCTAAAGGTACGTTAGCTATCATTCAACTTCCAGTGGACAAGTTGGGGGAGGATCTGTGTTTTCCGCTGCAGCCCTGTGCACCTGCTCTGAGCATAGAGCGAGGCTTGGGGAAGGTGAGATGGGTGGGGGACTGAAGAGCATGGTGCAGATGAGGAATGTGGTCCCTCATAGCCCAGCCTGTCCTCCATCATCAGCTTCTCTTCATTCTCCTCCCTGCTGGAGGACCCAGGAAGATTGAGCTTCTTGTCTGGAGCTGCCTAGCAAGTTGGTGGCAGATGAGTGACTGCATCCCCTGTGTGTATTTCTGGGAGGAAAAAATATGGATGAGTTTATATATAGGTACTGATAGTTTCCTGGAAGTTTTATAAGAATATTAGTGTTTTCATTTGGGGACCATAGTGTCAGTAGGATTGAATTATGCATCAGTAATTGTTACTGTCCTCCTCTTCCTCTTCTTACCCACAAGGTACTGGACCCATGAGCATTTTATAAAGATTTCAAATTTGGAGGTGTGCATATAAACATATTGCATCTTGTGTTCCCTGCTCTTGGTCATGTGCTCTAGGATGGTTAGGGAGACAACAAAACAAACCTTCCCAACACCAAGGATGAACAGGATTCTTCTGGAACCCAGCTGACCCAGAAATCCGAGAATAATTGGGGAAGCAGCAATGTCAGTAAATTGTAGACAGATTTAAGTTTTGGAGTTACTTGTTTTCTTGTTTATTTAATAAGCAAGATTTTAAGTCTATTGCATGTAGAGAATTGGGTTTTAGGCAATGTAAGGAGCAGAGGAGGAAATGCAGTGGTGTCCTTGAATTGGTTGAATGGGAAAGGTTGGTTTTACTTCCTGGCTCTCAGACACCACATCCCAGGTCCCAGCCTATAGAGCCATCTTTGCTCCCTGTACCCTTTCTGAGGCTTCTCTTTCTATCACAGACTGCTGCTGGTAAGCTTTTGTTCATCCTTCAAGATCACTGTGTTACCTTCTTCAGGAAATAGTCCTGAGATTTTTGTCCAAAGGCTGCTTGTCCAGCCTCTGAATAGTAGTTGGGATTGTTTTATTTTCTAGCTGTTGTGTATTTGCCTTTTCTTTCTGCTAGACTTTAAATCCTCTGAGGGATTTATTTTCTATTGTGTCTAGCACAGCAGAGAGCCTCATTAAATGTTAACTTAATGAAAGTTCAGAGGAGAAGAAATCTATACAAGAAGAAATCTATACAAGCTTACCTTTTCTATTAGCAGGAATGGTGCTTCCTAATTTCTTATCCCTGGATGCTGTTGTTCCCTAGTAATCAGCAATAGCAGAAATCTTATTTTACTTTAACACTATGAAGTTAAGCCATTTGGTTTTATCCAAAAAAGAGCTACATGAATACATGATTAAAATTACGTTCTTGAGTCTAGCATTCAATGCATTTTCTAACTTTTTTTTTTTTTTTTTTTACATTTCACATCTAAAATTTGGTTCCAACAATCCTCTGTACAAAGACTACAAAACAGAACCTGGCTATCTCTCCCTGGCTTGCTACTGTGGAGGTCTTCAGCTCTCTTCTTGAACAACAGATAATGACCATGGTTGTATGTATGGTGTCTACCAGAAATCTTTCTCTTGACAACACTAAAGGCAGAGATATTCTTCAGACCCCCTAAAAGTGTGAAATGAGGGCTGGGATGTAGCTCAGTGGCAAAGTGCTTGCCTAGCAAGTGCCACATCCTGGGTTCAATCCCTAGTACCCCCCAAAAAACAACAAAAAAAGACAAAACTGAGAGTCACATGAAATTTGAAGAAGTCATAAACATTTAGTGTTTCATAACTAAGGTCTCTTGCAATTCCTGGGGCCAAGAATTGTAGCCATATGGTAAGCTGGTCCCCTTCACTGCCAGTCTGATGGTGTCAGTCTGTGGAAGACTTTGATGGCTGATATTCTGCCTGAGGGTCCAGGGCCTCCCCAGTGCTTCCTGAGGAAGTTGCTTTCTCCATAACTTTTTTTTTTTAAAAAAATCATCCAGACATCTGCTGCTTGTCTCTTGGCAGGAAACTTCTAGATTGTCACAACTGTCTATTTCTGATTCAGAATGTAATGGTGTTGGTAGAGTGTGTGCTCTGTTAGGAGATTGTGTTCAAGGCAATCACAATTTAAATTCTACTCTTCAGATGGGACAGAGACCCCTGGAAATCATTTTACTGACTTGAGTTCCTTAGGGTTGGAGGTCTAGGACATTCATCTCATTTTGAGGGTGGGGTAAACACCACTATCCTGTTAATCATTCATTCTGACCTTATCAATACGTGCGCTTACTCTCTGTCAGCCATTGTTATGAGTGAGAGTGAAAAACATAGATTCCTTTTCTGTTCATAGGGGTCTTTAGTGACAGATATAGTTCTAGGCTTGGTTATGGAGGCCCTAAAAGGCTGTAGGAAGGAGCTTTTGATGGCAGGGGTTGCTACTGAAGGATGTGGAACAAAGGATGGACAATCATCTATTTGTTTATATTCTTAAAGGACAACTGTTTCCATGCCGTATGAGGAGTGGGTCCCAAATGGGTCAAAATAGAATCTGGGTTATGTTCAGAAAGCTGTTGTAGCAGCCCTCTTGCTATTAGAGAGAGGAAGACAGACTTTTGGGCCTGGAAGCAGGTGGTACTGTGTGTTGACAAGAGAGAGACTCGGGGAAGGGGAGGTTGATTGGATATGAAGACTGAGAGGAGTCCTCCCAGGGAGCAAACGAGAGGATGCCAGGGAAAGGGAGACCGGACACTTCTAAAACAGCTCATAAAACTTCCCTTACAGCCAGCCAAGGGGCTTCCCCTCCCCTCATTTACTTCTGTGATTTCCTTTCTTCTTTTAAAAAGAAAACAACTCTTAACTTTTAGGTTTTTGTTTTTTAAGCATTCAGTGAAAATTGGCTTTTTCTGTATATGAATGATGGAAGGAAGTACATAGGAGAGTTTGTTTTCTTGGCTCACGTCCCCGTTTTCAGTGGCTCTTTGGCCAGGATTAGATTCCTGATACTTTCACAAGTCTGCTAGACAGTCCCTCGTGGTGCAGGGAGGCTTTCCTTTGGTAATGTGCATGCAATTCATTTAAAGTTCACTCATTGGTTCTTTTGGATCTTCAATGAATGCCATTGTGTTTGTGCTGTTCTCTCTCTTTTGGGCACCTTTCCTTGCTTTTTTGTCTAAAGACATTTCTATCTTCCTTCAAAACTGAGATTAAATACTGCCCTTTCTCTGCAGAAAGCC